ATTGCCAATTTAAAGTGTTAAATATGTAATTATAAAAAAAAACTGAACCAACTTATTCACTGGTCCTTATTTCAAACCCAAAATCTTGAATAAATAAATACAATCTATTGCAGTAGAAAAAAGAAAGCCCCATAGGTTAAAGAAGATACCGTGAAACAGGGAACCTGGAAGGATCAAAAACCCACAGAAAATCCTTTTACCTATAACAGTTAAAGCAAATATCAAAGGAGATATCCTAAATCATGTTTTCAACATTCAAAAGCATGATTAGTGGCAAATCAATGGATTGAAGATACATGATTCTGATTCAGGAATCTAAAAAAAAAGTAACAGAATAATAAAAGCTAATTCCATATAACTGAACCAAAAATTTACTATTCAAGAGAACTGAAAAAAAAGAGGAATGATTCCTCTTTCCCAACACAAATAAACTTGATCAAAAAAAACTTTTAGGCTATAATCTGCAAGCCATTCATAAATTCAAATGTACTTGGAACTTCAGCTCGTACCATATCAAAGAAAGCATCCCATAATTGTTAGGAAACCAATTCTTATACATCCGCTAGCAAAATTCTAGATATATTCAGATTGTATCCATTTTTAAAAACTGTATCTAGAAAGGCTCCAGCAATCCAATACCATCAACCTCCAAATGCTTTCAGAAAATGTATAATCTCGGAAACAGTAACAAACGAGAACTTCCAAATCGCGAAAAGAAAATAAAGTAGCAACCGAAGAAGAGAGGAAAGAAGAAGAAACTTACCGCTTGTGATCAAAGAGAGAAAGAAGACCAGGCATTTTTAGAGCTTCAATGAGAAGAGAAATGGGAGAGAAATGAGCTTTACAAAACAAAACCCCTCCAGATCTTCCCGAAGTAAACAAAATACAAGAGAAGAAGAACGAACGAGCCGAGCTGCCAGGGAAGAGGAACGAACAGGTGAGAAGACCAACGAACGAATGATAGAGAGACCAACGAATGAACGCGAGAGAAGGAGGGGGAAGGAGCAGAGCTTGCTTTCACGTAACAACCCGAACTAACCAACCTTCGATCAAAGGAGCAATTGGGTAAAAATGTAATCACAGAACGTGGGCAACGGGGTCGATCCAGCGACCCATTTTTTGCGAAAAAACTCCACGCTGTGGCCGCGAAGCTCTCCAGCCACGCCCCCAAACATACCCTAAGATTGGCTCAGCTATGGACGATTGTTGGTTGATTGGTGGGGAATTTAATAGTATTGCCAACCCAGCTGAAGAAAAGGAGGTCAACAAAAAAGTTGCAATTTGTTCCCCGATAGTTAATCATTTTATGTATTTCGTAAATTCAACTCTTCATTATAATAGATATATTCAAAAAAATTTGAGGTTTCATCCTATAATTTTAATAACAATGAGTTAGATGCCTCAAATGTATTTCAACTACATACTCGTGGCCTTAAATACTTGAAATTCACCCGATTCTAAAAGAATCTTTGTTGTACTCATCAACACAAATAAGGGCAATTGCCATTTGAAGCCCCTCATCATAATCACTTTCAAAATCAGAATTTGAACTCATTTAGTTTTCACCAATGTAAATTTTAATAAGTAAAAAGAAAATATTAGTTTGAACACTAATATTCAACATAAATATTGCAATCAAACAGATTTATAAGAACAATCAAATAATTAAACATTGATGCAAAACAGATTTAATTTTTACCCCTATTCAAATTAAAAGAAAACATTAATTAAACAGTTTAAATTTGTGATAAAAAACTAAAAAGCTTGCATTGTTTCCTTCCAAAACACAAAAAAGTCCCTTCCAGATCCACTGGCCTAGAAGGAAAGTAAAGCACAGCAACTTGCATGGGAACCCACTAGCTTAGAAGGAGCAACTGAAGATAAGTAAGAGGATAGGTAAGAAACTAAACAAATTTAATGGAGGTAAGAAACTAAACAAATTTAATGGATTCCAACAATGCTAATGTCAATAACAAGATTTGGATTTTCTGTAAAAAAGAGGTGGCTTGGAAGGTGCAGATTGACCACCCACAATTTACACACATGGAATTCAAAATAGATGCATTTGAATGGAATTTCTTTTGTAGATGCAGGAGCATCTAATTTAGACAGGGATGTCTTATAGCTGAAGCTGATTAAGATTAGCTCAGCTAAGGACGACTATTGGCTCATTGGTAGTGATTTTAATAGCATTGCCAACCCAGCTGAAAAAAAGGGAAGTCCACGGGCTGACTTCAATAAAATGCTCAAATTCAATAACAGCATACAAGCACTGGGTTTCTATGACTTTGGATATCAAGGCCCTCTTTTTACTTGAAAAAGAGGTTGTAACTACGAAAGGTTGGATCGTATCTTGGTAAACCAGCTGTGGTTAGACAAGTTCCTATACTCAATGGTGAAACATCTATCTATGACTTGCTCTGACCATAGGCCTCTTCTGATCTCCACAACAGCCTCAGAAAAATTGATGCACTCTTCCTTTAGGTACTTCAATGTGTGAGCTGAACACCCTAAGTTTGCGAAGATGATTAGGAAAGCATGGTCCAAGGAAGACAAAGGGAATCACTGGTTGAACTTATGAAATCTATAGAAAATAACATCCAGAACGCTTAAAAGATAGAATTGGGTAGAATTTGGAGACTTGAATTTTCGAATTGCATAGGCTGAGAAGGTAGTTAGCGAGCTAGAGGAAGTTGTTTTGATGGACTGCTCTACTGCCAAGGAACTAACCGAAGCACATTCCAAAATGCAAAAAAACTTTGGACTGGGAGGAGATGTTCCTGAAACAAAAGGCTGCAAAAATCTACATTTCACAGAAGGGGGTAGGAATACTAAATAATACCAAGCATGTATAAAGAATCACAAAAGACTCGATGCTATTTTCAGAATTAAAACTGAGAATGATGAGTGGATAACCCATCAGAAGGGCATTGCTACCAATGTTGTACAATATTTTCAAACACTGATGAATCAACCGCCAGTACCTGTGCATTTGATTGATCCGGATTTGTTGGCTGACAGCACACTTATAACCAAAGACCTCAACAGCACCCAACCACCTACCGAGGATGAGAATTGGATTGCTCTTAACTCCATTGACGGTGGCAAAGCAATAGGCCCTTATGACTACACTACAGATTTCTATAAAAAGATGTGGGGGATTGTGAAAAGGAGGTAGTTCTAGTAGTACAAAGCTTCTTTTTAGGGGTATATCCCCCCAAATATTTTACTACAACAACCATTACCTTAATTCCCAAAGGTGAAGCCAAGTAAATGGGACCAATTCAGACCAATCTGCCTCACTAATGTCATCTCCAAAGTGATTAGCAAAGAAAATTTTACAAGGTTACAACATTATTTACCTGACCTTATTGCCCCAAATCAAGTTGCATTTACTAAAGGTAAAAGTATTACAGATAACATTCTTTTAGCCCAAGAATTGCTGACTGACATTGATAAGCCTTGCAAGTTGCAGGGGAGAGATTTTGGTCATCGAGTTAGATCTGAGGAGGGCATACGATACCCTAAGCTGGAAATTTATTATAGATGTGCAAAGAGCCAGGGGATTGCCTCTTAATTTATGCAATTTGATTGAACGATGGCTAGGAAGTAGTTCTACACAATTCTTCTCAATGGACAGACTCACTATTTATTCAAGTCTAGGAGGGCTACCAAGCAAAGTGACCCCTTATCTCCAACTATCTTCATATTGGCATTTTATTATTTATCAAAAATGTTAATACAGGCTCAGCATAAGCACAACTATAGAGGGTACAGAAACAGGTCCAAAACATATATTAGCCATCTTGCATAAAAAGATGATGCTATAATTTTCATTGATGCTACTAAACAGGCTGTGAAGGTAATGCATAAAACTTTAATGGATTTCCAGAGGGTATCAGGCATGCAATTCAATAAGCAAAAATGTCAATTGATTTGGGGTAACTGAACGAAGATTAGCACCAGGCAGCGGTTAAGGGAACACACTAGCTTCAAGCAAGTTGATCTCCCTCTGAAGTACTCTCGGGTACAACTTATTAAGGGCAGAGAAAAGCAAACTCTATTTGATGAGATGGTGGACAGGCGCATAAGCAACTTAATTGTTGGACCACACATTTCCTATCTAATGGGAGTAGGGTCAAGTTATTGAAAAGCATCCTTACCTCCTTTCCACTCTATATCAGTCAAATGTTGAAAATGAAACAAAAAAGTAAACAAAACTTACTCGAAAAAACCTTTCTCTAGGCAAGACAAAAAAAAACAAATGCACTGGACCAATCGGAAAAAAATTTTGTAAACCGCTATCAACGAGTGGACTGGGTTTCAAGGACCTTCAGCACTTACATCATATCAATTTCTACAAATTGTGGATTAAATTTAGAGGGCATGATTCCTTTTGGGCAGAATATATGCATAACAAATACTATAGAGAATTACATCCCACAATGTTACAAAGGAAAATGGGCGACTCCAAAACTTGGGTCAGCATTATTTACTTTCATGGTTTGTCCTATTTCTAGTGGATTACTTCTATTTCTAAAATTCCAACACTAGGAAAGCTTTCATTTAACAGAAATTTGTTTTATCTTTGAAGAATTATAAACGGTATCTTGAACAAAATTGTATCTTCTGCTTTCATTCTTCAAGATTTGAATTCTATAGATTCAACCATGCTTCCAAAACCAGAAGCTGTCCCAGGTTTATTTATTTAAATGTCAGAACAAAACAACAGCTTAAGTTTAATAAAAAGAACTAGTGCGGTAAAGCAAAGAAAATTTAAAGAAAGCAAAAAAAAAACAAAAAAGTTTGCAGAAAAATATCCAGCGCTGGAAAGAGCTATAGTCGGGATAACTTTTGGCTGACATTTCCACTGCATAAAAATGGCATGCTTCTACAGAATTAAATTTTGCAAGAAATTCCCAAAGTATGAAGCAAAATTTAATCAAATTGATGACCAAGCTGCCTATGATTCCAAAAAGAACTAAGCAGGAATTGCAAAATTAAAAAATATAAAGTGTTAAACCATTTATTTTTAGTGCCAATAATATCCAACAAGTAAACAGTAGTGCAACTAATCACAGACAGCAAAAGGAAAACTAATTAAACAAAACTAACACATATTTGGTATGCACATTCCAACGGAAAAAACTGAGAAACCAAAGCATGTTATACATAGCAACTTTCACTATAGTAAACCTGGAAGAAAGCGTACAGGGAGCAAAACCCTCGTTCAATATGGATCAGACCAATTGTCTCTTCATCATCCTCTTACACTCATCGTTCCCAATCTCTTCCAGCTATATGGTCTCTCGCAGTAACCACAGTGATAGACAGAATCTCAATGCTGAGCCCACTGTATACTCTTGAGATCAATCCCTTCCTTCACCATCTCATAAAGAGGGCTCATCTCTCGCAGCTTCTCGACTTGACGAACCACCAACTCTACAGAGTGATCTATCTCTGCTTCGGTGGTAAATCTCCCAATGCCAAATCTTATTGAAGTGTGAGCCATATCCTCATCTACTCCAAGTGCTCTCAACACATAAGAAGGCTCAAGGCTAGCGCTGGTACAAGCACTCCCACTAGAAACTGCCACCTCTTTCAGTCCCATAAGCAGGCTTTCACCTTCAACATAAGCAAAAGAAAGGTTCAAATTTCCAGCATAACGATTCTCGATGCTACCATTCACCACCACTCCATCCAGCTTCTCCCTGATCCCTTTAAGTAGCCTCTCCTGCAACGCTGCAATCCTGCGGCCATCATACTCCATCTCCTTCATGGCAATCTCGCAGGCCTTCCCAAAACCAACTACAAGCGGCGTAGGCACAGTGCCGCTGCGGACGCCACGCTCCTGACCACCGCCATTCATCTGAGGTTCCACTCGGATTCTCGGACGCCGCCGGAGGTAAAGTGCACCAACACCCTTCGGACCATAAATTTTGTGCCCGCTTAGCGACATCAGGCCTATCCCCATCCTTTCAACGTCGATAGGGATCTTACCTAGAGCTTGAGCAGCATCGGTGTGGAAGGGGACGCCCTTCTCCTTACAGATCCTTCCGATCTCCTCAAGTGGTTGCACAACGCCGATCTCGTTATTGACTGCCATGATGGATACGAGTCCAGTGTCAGGGCGGATTGCGGAGGCAAGCTGGTCAAGATTGATGAGGCCGTCAGGACGGACGGGGAGGTACGAAACTTCGAAGCCCTCCTGCTGTAGGTAGCGACAGGAGTCGAGGACGCACTTGTGCTCAGTCTGGGTGGTAACGATGTGTCCTTTCTTCTCTCGATAGAAATGCATGACGCCTTTAACGGAGATGTTGTTGGACTCGGTGGCTCCGGATGTGAAAAAAATTTCCTTAGGGTTGGCGCCGACGAGAGCTGCGACCTGCGAGCGGGCGGATTCGACGGCCTCGTCTGATTCCCAACCGTATAGGTGGGTGCGGGAATGAGGGTTGCCAAAGCGGGAAAGGTAGAAGGGGAGCATGGCATCAACGATGCGGGGATCTACGGGGGTGGTGGCCTGCATGTCGAGGTAGAGGGGGCGGCCGGAGATGCGAACTCCCTTCATGGAGATGATACCATCCTCTTCGTCTGCAGAGTTGGTGAAATGAGGGGAAATTTCGACGGAGGAAAGTGAAGCAGCAGAAGAGGATGAGAGAGGGCGATATGAGGGCATCAGTCGGCGGGCGAGGCTGGTGGCCGTGTTGAGGTGCTTGAGGAGCATGATCGCTGAAGTAATCGGACTTGATGGCTGTTTGCTAGCAAGATTTGAGTAGGATTTACGAAGGATTTGACCTAAATCCTGGAAAACAAAATTGAAGCGTTCCCAGCAAGCTCAAACCGCGATTTACCGAGCCGAAAGAGGGAGGAAACAAGAACGGCGGTTAGCCGGCGTGAGGGGCTTACCGACGCCTAGGGTTTCCAACGGGGGTGGCCGGCGGTGAGGTCCGGGCCGAGAAGATGTCGCTAGGGAAGGGGCCGGTTTGGACGCGCGAACAGTCGGCTAGGACACTATATTTTAGCGGGGGAAGGGGCCCTACGTCGCGAAGGGGGAGAGGCCCGGGCATCTGCTCTTCCCGTATAAATGAAAAAATGCTTTTATAATTTTTTTTTTTACCCTTTTTCTCTTTTTATAAATTAATTTTATAATTTTAAATTTTTAAACCCCCTAACTTCGCGTGTTGAGAGCTTATACACAAAATCATATCAAAATGAATGTCTATGTATATAAAATTGACATTTTTATACGTGCTATCATGATAAATTCGCCGATAAACGTGCTAATTTGAGTCACTTTCACTAGATCAAAGCCACAAACAAACAAATATGTCGACCAGCCTTCCCCTGTGCGGCTACCAAAGTCCGGCTGAACGATCTCGATTTTGTACCCTTCAACATGCATTAAAAGGTCTCAAATAGATGTCTTGCATTGCGGGAATCAACACATGCATCAAGCAATGTTATATAGAGCTCGAGCGAACATCCTACACTCATGACATCAATAATTTATGTCAAGAAAGACAACTTGGATCTTCAGCTGCTTCTCTAGCAGCCTTTCAGCTCTCCTCTTTCATAATCATTTATCTTGGATATTAACTTTTTTTTTTTCAAACCAAATCTGCAAACTACGTGCCCTAGAACAATCTAAAGGAGAGCAAAAAAAAAATAAAAAAGCCTAAATTAAGAGTTGCAGTAGAATTGAATGGGAAAAAAATAGGTAAATGAAAAATAGAGAGTTTAGTAGTAGAAGGAAGCTTTAGATGCTCCACTCTATTGCACAAACCAAATAAAGAGAGGACGCCATGTGCCATCCCGAGGGAGAGCGACAAGCTTCCAAATAAAATCATTTTTTGTCGAAGCAGCTGCAATGAAGAACACCATTTTTAGAGTGAAAAAAAATGGGTTTGCAAAGTAGGAAGCTGATGCAACAACTTCATAAAAATTCTTCCCAGAAAATCTTTATTTTTATTCATTACATACCAATTTTCTCCTACTTGTGCAAATTCTTCCCATAAAGTTGCATATTCTGTCCATTGGTTTTTTGATTGAGAATATTGAGCAGAAATTCCAAAACCACATGGCTACAAATCTAAGCCCTCTCGATGGAGAGTGAAGTTCCTAACTACCAGGGCAATTAGAAAATCATGGTATTGCGCACTAAAACTATATCAAAAAGCATACGACACAGTTCAAAGCGCTATAAGTATAGACCCTGCTTGGCTGCTGCTCAAAGCCTTTTTTTTGTTCCTTTGATATATTTTTTTACTGTCTTGATGCTAACTGTGCTCATTCCAGAGCAAAGAACAACAACGAATCAGCCAAAGAAAAAAGGTGACTCTACAGTCAATTTCAGCAAAAAGAATGCAAAGAACAACACTTTGCTCATGTCCCAAGAAGAAAGCATAAAAAAAAAGGGAGAACTTCATGCCTCCAACAAAAAGGAGAAAACAGAGAAGTTATTGACAGTGTAAAATAACTGTTGAGAAATTAGGGCAAAGAAACTCAAGAATCAAGAACGTAGCAATTTAAGAAAGAACACGAGGATTTAATGAGGTTCCACAATATGTCTATGTCCTTGGAAGCAATGAGCAGCGGCTTCTTTTGATTTCTTGAAAACAGTGCACTCTTAGATTTATAAATACAACATATATATATATATAAATCTAGTGTACTATATGTAATTACAAAATTACATTGTAATGTACCGCGGGAGTTTGCCCCCGCACCCCCAACCCAGTTAACGAAAACTCCACCAATTGGACAAATGCTTCCACTTCGGTCCACTATCTGTCCCTTATCGTCATACCTAACAATAACTCTTGAAATAAATTTAATTAATTGGCATAACAATAGAGAACTTACTTTAAAATTATTAAATACCTTTTTGAACCTATTTTAACCTATCAATATGGACTCACACAATACTGTCAAGAGGTTGTCTATGTGTATGAATCACTATACAATCTCATTTGATATCTCACGTGTATAAAAAAATGGCTGGTATCAAGAAGAGTTCAAGCGAGTTTCAACTTGAAAGATAAATTATAATTCAAGTTTAGCTAAAAAGCTCGAATTAATCTAAAATGATTTATTCTGAATAGATTAGTTAGTTAAGTCTAGCTAGGTCTCTTAATTTCAAATTTTTATTATATGAATTCCCAAAAGGATTACATGTGTGCATATGAATGAAGCCACATAAATGTGAAAGTTTATATGATTAGAATCAAGTTCAAATTATTTTGAACTAATTTCAAGTCAACAATCCTCAAGTAAGAAAATTTAATTCAAATTTACAATATAAAATTCAAATAATCACTGAGTGTAGTTCAAACAAAATTGATTGCCCCATCTAAAAATTTACCCTTCTAAATGATCCAATTTGGGATATCCATTTCGAACTTTAGTCATGAATCGTAGTCTTTGTCACTTTAGTGAGTATTATTTAATTTCATGTTTTGCCATTATACTTATTTGAAATTTTATTATTTTAATTAGGTTCAGATTATCCTACAAAATTATAGTAACTACTATGAATAAAAAGATTTTGATTGTAATAGTTGTTAATGATGATAGAAGGATATGTCAACTTTTAGCATCCTCTATAGAGATCAATTCCTTAACTATAAGGTTCTTTCTTTCACCATTCTTATATTTGAATGTATCCTCCTGGGACATCCATTCATCTCTTATTCTCAATCCATTTTTTTCTCGTTATCATTCCCTTTTCTCTCTATATCAAAATCTTCCTTAACATCACAATATCAACGTTCAACCACAATCATAAATGTGGTTGTCTATCTTGTCTTCATTTAGTATCAAAACATATGTTTCAACTAATGTTTAAAATTGTCAATCTTGTCGTCATTTAGTATCAAAACATATATTCCAACTAATGTTTAAAATTGTCCATCTTGTCGTCATTTAGTATCAAAACATATGTTACAACTAATATTTAAAATTGTGCAATTGGGTGTTAAGGCTAATTATGTTTGCTTTATTAGCTCATTAGTATGAACACAATTTTTTTTCATGTTCAACATGATATATATACCTAAGATGAGATCAAATGAGGATCATTATGATTTTCTTTGAAGCGATATCACTTTCCAAGAGGTACCTCTTTGGGAAAAAAATTATTAGGTGTGGAATCTGCATGCATGCGGACTTCAGTACAACCTGGTAGTATCGGTTGTATTTTTGAGTTGTCTCAAAAATACAACCAATACAACCAGGTTGTATTGAAGTTCACATGCATAAATTATCCGCACATAATAATTTCTCCTCTATGGGAGTATTCAATGTTGCGTTTCTTTTTTTCCTGTTATTTGTGATTGCAGGTATTGTGCCAAAGGCGGGGCGAGAGCTTCTATAAATTCAGTGAAAAAAAGCAAGGATCAGGGAGGAAACGAGAAAAGTGTGTATTTGATGAACAAGATATTTAGAGCAGAAGTTTTATATTATTTAAGTTGATCGTGTTAAAAATTAAAATATAACACATTTATTTGTGTCATAGTGACTGAGGGTGTAATCTCCTACGTTAGTTCACGAGTTCAAATCATTCATATTACTTTTTGGGCTCACCTTTCCCGAAAAAAATGAAATAAAATAATAAAATATAATTTTAAGTGATATGTATGCAAATACCCCAACATATATTTATAGCGTTAATTTAAATTTATGTAAGTTAATTTTTATTAATTTAATCATTTAATAATTAATAATTAATTAATGCTGATATGCAATTTCGTAATTTGACATAAAATTTGAGATATGGTAAGAATCTCAATGCATTTCTTAACAACAAAAAATATTCACACTTAAATTAAACTTCATTTCAATTCCAATTTCAACAAACTTATCGTCAAACTAACATGCTCGGTGAAACGGACTCAATGACACCAAAATCGACCTAATTTGAGCAAAATCAAACCCGGAATAAATCACTTTTGGAATCTTAAATAGCCAATTGGAAGGTTAAATGGATTTCAAAACTAATAATATTATAATCAAATCAAGCTTCTTGGTGAGACAAATCAAACAAGCTTGTGATCACACAATTTTGACATCATAAGGGACTTAGACCTAGACCTAAAGGAGAGAGAATGAGTTAATTTTTTGAGTTATTCTAAACCAAAGACTCGACAAACATTTCTTGCTCCCACAGTTGTATACCAAAGACCACCGCTAGCCGATCCCCCATTTCAACCCCATTGGTAGACCTCATTGGGCAAAGAAGTATGATGCAACGATATGCCTCAAAGACAGTGCAACGATGCTTCTCAAAGATGGTGCAACGACGCGCCCCGAAGATGGTCCAATGACACGCCCAAAGAAGGTGTAACGACACACTCTAAGAAGGTATAATGACACGCTCTGAAGACGATGTAATTCTTTGCAATAACTACTTACAACATTCGTACTCAAAATATGGTGACATTCTCCAAACTCATGAAGTTCTCTCCTTATAGTTCTCCACTACGGCCTACGATCTATATGGTTCACAACAGCTGCAACCCTTTACTACGAACTTGGCCATCAACTGACGCTATTACACCCTCGCTATGACCTATGTGACCAAAGACCCAATGAGCACTTCCCGCTCCCACAGCAGTCGACCAAAGACCACCGCTCACCGGTTGTCCCCAGTCCATCCCTATTAGTGGACCTTGTTGGGTAAGGACGTATGATGGAACTGACGCTAGAGCTGGACCTAGACCAAAAGGAGAGAGAACGAGTTAATTTTCATAGTTCTTCTTGACCAAAGACCCAACGAACACTTCACAACTATTGATCGAAGACCACCGCTTGCTGACCACCCTCAATTCATCTTTATCAATGGAACTTGCCAGGTAAAGAAGTATAAAACCCCTAAGACGGTGCAAGGGCGTAGGGTACAACAACAGACCCCGAATATGGTTCAACGACGAGTCTCAAAGATGGTACAATGACACGGCCAAAGACGGTGCAACAACACACCCTAAAACTGGTGTAATTACACACTTTGAAGGCAGTTTAATTCTATGCAATAACTGCTTACAACTGTCTACTTAGTATACGGTGA